AAATTGTCTTTGCCCTTCCCCTTTCCCTTTCCTCCAATCTGGAGCTTTGGGCTCCAGCATAGGACAGCCTGGAGTAGCAGCTAGCACCCTGAGCAAGCAGGAGTCTAGGGGGTTGAGAACTGTGGGTTCTTATGTAATTGTCCATCTGTCCATCTCTGTCTGTCCACTTGTCATGACTCTGGGCCTGTTCTTCATACCAGAGATTTCCAGTGGGCCTGGCTGAGCCCTGCCCTGGGTAGGGTAACCCCAAAGCAGCCATTTTCTCTAAAGCTGAGCTGGCAGCTCTGTGTCCCCCAGAGAGAAGGTTCCCCCAATATCCGTGAATGTAATTTGAGAGCCAGAGAAGCTCTTGCAACCCTTGTTCCAGCTTTCAGGCCTTCCTCATTCTGTGACTTGTCCATGGTACCACCCTTGACCTGTTGATAGCCCATCTAAGAGGGGAGAGTGTTTTTTGTTTTGTTTTGTTTTGTTTTGTTTGCTGGATGTACATTTTTCAAATCTACCTTGTGAGTCTCTCTGGATGTGGAGGACAGCAAGCTCCCATTAGTCTGCTCTCTGGAAATCCCTGGGGACCTGGCTGACCTGAGAGTGGGGGAGGGGGAAGGCAGAAGAAGGGAAGGAGGAGGGAGGCCCCTTCAACCCTTGAGCTGTATTCTAAAAAGGCTAAAGTCCCTGGGGCCCACCCTGAAGGCCATTCCTGGCTGTTCCAGGATTGGCCTGAAGTGCCTTTCCACTAGTGCTGCCCTGAAAATGCTGTTGCTTCCGAAACCAGGCCTTTGGGAGTTTGCTCTTTGCAAAGGTAGGGGTGGAGTGGGGAGCATTGTCACAGCTTCAGGCACCAACTGCACCAAACCCTCTGACGAAGAGGCCACTGCTTTCCACAGATAAGGAAACTGAGGCACAGAGATATGAAGTAACTTGCTTGTGCAGCATGAATTTGAACCAGGACTACTGGGCTCCTGACCATGTCCCTGCTGGCTCTGGAGGGCTGTGCAGCTTGGGCCACACTCAGAACTTGGCTGGCACAGGAGGCAGCCTGGGGTTTCGAGGGGGTCTAGTGGTTTCCTGTGGACACCGCTGTAGCAGGAGACTTGACATCCTCTCCTCCTGATTCTGATGAGGAATTGTGTGGATGAGAATCTGGCTTCCAGGGGAGAGTGACTGATAGGGCTTTCTGCTGCAAGAAAAGAAGCTTGCTTTTTCTAGCCTCCTCTGGGCCGCTGAAGTCACTTCTCTCTCCCTCTGCTTGCTCTGTCCTGAGCTCTGGGCAGCGCATGAGATATAGGTCCTGCCCTCTGAGCTTTCCATCTCAAGGCTAGCAGAGGCAGGTCACCAGCTGCCTGTGGCAAGGCTAGAAGAATGCCTAGTGGGAGGCCACACTCTGAGATGGGGGAGGGGTGTGCTCTCCCCGGTAGACGTTGGCTAAGGGTTGGGTGGGGCTTTCCTCTTCCTGAGAGCATCCGGTAAGAGAAGGAGAGTCACTCTCACGAGTGTCTAGGGGGCCCAGCCAAGGCCTGTGCTTGGGCTCCCCTTAATTTTGTCTTTCATTCATTTAACAAATATGGACTGAACAGAGGTGCTCCCTGCCAGGTGCTAGGCTGGGTGCTGGGGACACAGGGTTTGGCAAAAACAGTCATTGCTCTTGTAAGGTGGGGATCATAGATATCAAATGATCCCAGAAATGAGAAAGGGGATCCTCTTTAAAGATTTTTCAGGCCTCTGCTGGGATGGGCAGGAGTAGGGTGCAGTTGTGCTACCCTAAGAAAAGTTCTTGGGCTGAAACCAAGGTGTGGATGAGGGAACAGGATTTTTCTGGGCAGAGGGGATGGCCTAGGTGAGGGCCATCAGGCAGTGGGTTTTGGGGGAATACAGGGAGGAGCCCTGCATGTACTGGATCAGGGTGTTTTGTGAAGAGTCCCCAGAAGCCTTTGCTCATTAGCCTTTGGTTAAGAGTTTCACCTGGGCCTCCAGGAAGTGTCCTGGGAGATGGGGGTAACTTGTGGACATTGGGTAGACATTCCCCCATGGCTGCAGACACGTGCCTGGAGCAGCCTCTTCAAAAGGCGAGAAGAGTACCTGGTACCCTTGTGTTTGGCCATTTTTTTCACATGCTCTGAGTCCACAGCTTTAGAGGGTGGCTGGAGTGGGTGGGGGTGGGGGCAGGGCTCTCTTTAAAGGCCAGGCTCCCTGGGGACAAGCCGGGCATCCCAGGGCTAAGGGGCTGCCCTTCTGCAGTTGACCCCAGAGTGGCTCTGGTCAGAGATGAGTGGGGGCATAGTTCCCCTCCGTGCACCTTGGGCTGGATGGGGCCTGAGAGTTAGCCTCCAATGGAAGTGGGTGGAGAGTTGTGGGGTGCGGTGGGAGTATGCTGGCCTGGGGCTGTTCCTGCCCTGGCTGCTTCTGCATTCCTGAGACCCAAGCCTTGCCTTTCCCTGCACCTCCCTACTCCTCTTTCTACCAGGGGGCTCCTGGCACCCAAGCTGATCACCCTGCCCATGAGGAAGGGCTTGGGCCTGGGTGGGCCTCTCCCACTAGGAGTGGGGAGGGAGGTGAGTCCTGCTCCCAGGGCAGCTCAGTTCCCAGGGCAGCTCAGCATCCAAGAGACCTTGGGGTCATGTCCCCCAATGGCCTAGCCCCTCACTATGGAGCCACCATCCTGTGGTTTCTCTTCCTGGACTAGCCGAGGTCATTCATGGGTCACTCATCTCTAATACTTCAGTGTGTATGTCCGAAAAATAGGACATACTTTTTTACAGAATATAATTTCATCATCTCACCAAACAAGATCAGCTCTTATTTCTTAATGTTATTTAAGATCCAGTCCCATTTACATTTCCCAGTTATCTCCCAAATGTATTTTTTATGGGTAGTTAGAAACCCCTTACCCCATTTATTTTTCTTCTTGCAACGGATGTAGTGGAAAAAACCAGGTCACTTGTCCCATAGAGTATCCTTCCTTCTTGGTCTCATTATGTGTTAATCTAGAACAGGGTTGGCAAACTTTTTCTGTGAAGGGCCAGATAGTAAATATTTTAGACTTTGCAGGCTGTGTGGTCTCTGGCAACTACTCAAACTTGTTTTGCTTTAGTGCAAAAGCGGTTTTAAATAACATGTAAACAAACGGGTGCTGTTGTGTTCCAATAAAACTTTACAAAAAACAGGCAGCAGCCCCACAGTCTGCTTTTTTGCTCATCCCCTATCTAAAATAACCTCCCCTTTCTTTTTCTTCCTGCGGTTTGGAAAAAAAAATAAAACAGGTCAGTTGTCCTTCAGAATATCCTGCTATCTGGGTTTGTCTCATTGCTTTCTCATGAAGTCATTTAAGTTGTTCCACTAACATCTGTGTTTTCAGTAAACTGGAAGTTGGAGTTAGGGGCTTGATTAGATCCAGGTTAGATACTTTGGGCAGGTGCAGTGCCCTTGTCAGTGGTACTGTGACTTGGTGCTGCCTCACATCAAGGAGGCATCAATCAGTGTGTCAGTTTCCACTGTGAGGGGCGATTGACCCATGTATGACTGGATGATGTCACACCCCTCCATTGCAAACTTGTGTCATTCCCCTTAACCTTAGGTCATCTGTCGGTGTCACTGGGCATCTGTCTGTGACCATCCACTTCTGTCAGCCTTTCCTTCCTGGTTCAGCATCCACTGACTCATTGCCTCCATCCAGCATTTGTTTCTTTGGGGGTTGCAGTATTACTTGGCATTTGGTCATTCTTTTGTTATTTAATAGTGAGAATTCTTCTGTAAAGAAGAGCTTTCTTTTTGACCACCAGAGCAATTTCATTACAGAAAAGGCCTTGAGACAGGCTGCATTATTTCTATTATTGCCAATTTTCAGAGTAGAGTTAGGGCATTGCTACCGTCAGTGGTGACAAATGAGGGTTTGGGTTTGTTTTGCTTTCTTTTTTTCTAATCTCTGTGAATGCTCCAATTTTATGTATTCCATCTGTTTTCATCAGTTGCACTCATTATTCTTTTTGATGCTGAGATGGTCCCAGCTCAGCCCATTGGGCACCAGCTCACATAGGCTTCCTGGGGATGTTTCCCTCTGCCCCTGCCCTGAGGCAGCCTACTCTTGGGGAGCTGAGCTGGGGAGGCAACCCACTCCACAGGTGTCTGTTCTGTATATGGCCCTGACCAATCACTTGGAAGGAAAGCTCCAAAGATGTGTTATCTTACGTGGGGCCCATTCTTGCTTCCCTCTAAGCATACTGTTGACTCTGACCTGGACCAAGCTGTACTGGGTGTGTGACCTTAATAATTTGGCCTCTGGCTGTAGGAGGGTATAGCCCTTTGGGGTCACTAGCTCCAGAATTGGTTCCTGGAAAGTGCCAAAGAAGTCCCCTCCTTTTTAGACCGCCCTTCCCACCAGCCTCAGGTGGGCCAGGCATATGAGTCCTGTGCTGGCACTTTGGCACCCAGAAGCTGCAGCTCAGCGCATGCTGGCCAGGCCCTGGGTCAGCAGGGTGTCAGGCAGGGGTGAGGGCTCTTGGTGAATGTGGGATGTAGGTGGAGGAGTGTGGGGTAGAAGCCCCCTGTGCTAGAGGCACCACTTGGGCTGCTGAGAGCAGCAAGGGTTTGAGTCCTTCCTAAAGGGAGATCTCTGCACTCGGGCCATGGGTGGCCCTGACCCATACCTTCCCCACTCCCCACCCTTCAGGCTCCTGCTGGTGTCCTTGGAGGATGGGAGGCTGCTGAGCTTGAGTGGCGTGGTCTGGCAGGAGCTGCGTGTCTCACCCTGTGGCAGGGAGGGTGTCCATGGCTGCATCCAACAAAGGTGAGTGCCTTCCTGGCCTGGCAGGGTTTCCAGGGTCTTCCGGCAGGCCCTGGTGGGGTGGGTGTTGTCACATGTGGGGCCTGCATTGGCTGTTTGTGTGTGGGTGGGTGTATCTGAATGTGAGTACAAATTACATCAATAATTGCACCAGTGTTTACATTAGGTCCTAGGGCATACCCAAGTCCTAGCAGGGAAACTGGGGGACCCCTGCTGGCTCCTTGGTGTGCTGCTGTATGGAGGTGCCTGTATTTCAACCTCCTGTTCCACTTAGGGGGTTGGGGAGCGTGAGGGTCTTGGATGAGCACTGAGATTGGCGACATGGGTAGAACCACAGCAGGCTGTAGAAAGGAATTTGAGTTTTATTCAGAGTCCAGAATGGCTCATAGAGGGTTTTAGGCAAGGGTGGTCCCGTGAGATTTGAGGGTTAGGTCTGGGGCATTCAGCAGGGAATGTGGAAGTGCCAGGCTGGCTCTCCTCGGCCTCCACTGAATGTCTAAGAACCCAGACCAGAGCTAGCCCAGGCCCTCCCACCTAAAGGACTTTGAGCAGAGCTCTTAGGAGGCCTAGGGGCTATGGGGGGCAGAGAGGACTGGGGTCATGCTTTTGGCAAGATGGATGTCCCTCAGCCCAGGCCCTCAACCCAGCTCCTGATTCTCTGCCTGTCTCAACCCCTGCCTCCTGGCTCTGGAGAACCTGACCTGGCTGGGGACAGCTAAGGGCCTTTTTTGTGAAAGGTTAAGCAGAGGAGGGGAGGGAGTCTCTGGGAGGGTTCCAGGAGGCTCCCCTGGGTTCTTCCATTTTTCCTGCCAGTGATCAGTGATGTTAAGGGCAGCTGCAACCTTTCCTAGGTGGGTGGGCTCAGTGTGGGTTTTGGCCCTTGTATGTTTCTCCCACCTCCAAGCAAGTCCCATAGAGCCCGTTCCTGTCCTTGCCCCCGCCCCCAACCCTTACCAGGTCAAGGTCATCAGGAGGTGCAGCAGGGGCCTCAGGCACAGAAGACAAAGTCGCAGAGATGGGGAGGGTGGTCCTGTGGAGGAGATCACTGGGCACAGATCTCGAGGCCTGTGCTGAGTTCTGTACCACGTGGCGCTGGGTGAGAGTCTGGAGGACTGTCTCTTTTTTATTCTCTCTAAGTGAGGGGTCATATTAGCCAATTCCTGACTCCTCCCAACACCCATTCTCAGAGTGGGTATTTGTTTGTGGGAGGATTGGGCCTCAAGCCTCATGATCCCCAGTGTCTAGTAGGATGTGGCCTAGCCTTGCAACGAGCCCAGCCTGTAGGTCCTCGGTGATGTCAAGGGCCCAAGGGGGAGTTGCCTGTGGATAGAAGAAGCCTGATACCCTGGAACCCTCTCCCACTCTCTTCCTAGGCAACAAGCCCAGAGTCCGGAATATCCGCTTTGCGGCAGGCCATGATGCAGAAGGCTCCCAGAGCCATGTCCACTTTGATGAGAAGCTGCATGACTCGGTGGTCATGGTCACCCAGGAGAGTGACAGCAGCTTTTTGGTCAAGGTATGTGCACATGTACCCCCAACATCAGCCTTACTTCCTCCACCCTCGGCCCACCTTCCCCCCGCCCCCGCTGCCCCCGCCCGCTTCAGCCTTGTCTGGCTTCCTGGGACTATTTGTTCCATTTCTTCTAACCTGGCTGTATAAGCATATCTTTATCCCTCTCTGGGCCTTAGTTTCCCCATCTGTAAAGTGGAAGGTGGTGACATTACAATGAGATAAGTGCTTTTAGAATATTACTCAGTAAGTAGAGCAGAGCCCAGTGGAGCCGTTGTTATCCTCTGTTGTCATCAGCATCTCCCCAACAAATAGCAATGGAAGGTGGTTGTCAGGCTGGGGTTCCACAGGCCTGGGTTCATCTCAAGCTTCCTCTTCTCTGAAATTAAAAACAGTTCACACCCATAGAGTTGGTGCAAGAATGAAATGGAAGACTGTATGTCACACAGGCATGAGGCTTATTGTACTGATAACAAGGTGTGATTTTATTTACCTTCTTTGCCAAACCTCTGATTCACTCCCGAGTTTTTTGCTTGGTAAAGCATCCCTCTCTCCTGTTGGTCACACCTTATACAACCTCCAGTGTGACTTCTCCAGCTGCTGGGACACTGTCAGATCCCGCATTCTCTTGGGAGGGGCAGGAAGACATCTCTGGAGGGTATGGATTGGGGGAGACAGGAAGTGAGGCCCTCAGGTTGGACAATAAACTAGGGTTCCAGAGTTGAGCAAGAGTGCCGGGGTTGGGGGACAGTGCATCTGGTCCATTGAGACCACCCTGAGGGGGGCCCCAGATTCACCCCCATTTCTGCCCAATTCAAAATTCCTTGCCCTTTCTCCTACAGCTGACAACTTCTCTAAGGGAATAAACAGAATGAAGCAAAACTTTAAAAGCTCCCTCTCCCTTCCTCCCCATCGCAAAATCCATTCATGTCTATTAGAGAAAAATTGGAAGAGAAAACTAAAAAGAAATTTAAAAGTACCCATAATTATACTATCCAGAAATAACCATGGTTAGTATTTTGATATGTGTCATTCCAGCATTTTTTTTAAGCTTTGTTTCCAAAAACAAAGAACTGGTATCACAGTGTAACACTTTTTTTTGCTTGCTTCTGTTGTGAACCATCTCCTGCCTCTGTCAGTAAATAATTTTCCACAAGAGTTTACAACTTCCTGGTGTTCTACTATGTATATCATTAATTTAGTTGGTTCCCTCTTCCTAGTGTTACGGCTGTTTCTATTTTTTGCTGTTATAAATAGGGCAGTGATGAGTATTTTTTGCACATCTCTGAGTATTTCCCCTGGAAAATTCTGTAAGTGGTGCAGCAAAGTCACAGGGTCACTGTTGGCAGGTTCAGCCAGAAAGCTCTGTTCAGAGGTATGCACTCCACCTGCAGAGTGTAAGAGCCATAGGGACTGAGCTTTATCACGCAGCGACATCAACCTGATCCCATTGAAAGGCTCAGTGCAGCCAATCCCAACTGGCCCCCAGGGGTAGGGCCACCCAGCTCCTGAAACAAGCAAGAAAGTGTGCACATGAGCTGTGGGTACAGCATGCACCCTAGTCAGCCACCCTGGCTTATGACCCTTCGCACAACTGGAGTTTCCAAGTATGGCACCTATCCCAGAAGGCATCAGTTGCCAAGCACTGTGTATGAACAACAGAAATTGCTTGGGCCGTTGGACACAGTGAGTAGGCAGGCAGGCAGGCATCCATGTTCAGAGGCCAGCAGGGAAGGCAGGAGCCTGGGTTCAATGGCTAGTGCCAGGACTGTGGGCCAGCTCTGGATGAACACAATTGGTCTAGTGTCTGTGTTTCTAATTCTATCCCATGCAATCTGTGTTGCCCTATGTCTCCACATGGGTGACTGGAGAACCATTGTCCCTCACCACTGGCCGTTGGCCCTGGGCAAGTGCTCGTAGTGGTAGGGACAGTTCATGGGAATTTTAAGCCTCCCCTTCTAGGCAGTGCTGGTGCCTTGCTGTGTACAACTCATGGCAGGAGTGGCCAAGAGGTCTATAGCCAGTCATTTCCTGGCTTCCATATCCTAGTCTATAAAATGGGCCACCAAGGAGCAATAGGGCCTGTGAGACAGATGCTGAGGAGTATGCTGGCTGAGCCATGGAGGTGAGGTCCTCAGAAAGACCCTGGAGCCCCTGGGTTGGTGGTGTGGACCAGCTGGAGTAGTGGTGGAAATTAAGACCCCTGGGATCCCCAAAGAAGCAGATGCAGAGGCCTACAGGGTCATAGATGGCACGACCTGGGCAGGCCTTTGGAAAGGCCGTTAGGTGAAGGTGCCTCCTTCCCCAACCCTTCCTGCTGCAGGTTGGCTTCCTGAAGATCCTGCACAGATATGAGATTACCTTCACTCTGCCCTCGGTGCACAAACTGAGCAAGGACATCCGAGAGGCACCTGTTCCCAGCCTGCACCTCAAGCTCCTCAGCATCATGCCTGTCCTGGAAGGTGCGTCCTCTGTTCAGGGTGCTGGATGCCTGACCTCCTCCAGCATGGCCTGGGCGTGAGTGGGAGTGAGAGCATGGGGTGCTCCCTTCTCCCCATTTAGACTGGATGAGCAGCTCAGCAGTTGGGGACATGATGCTTACAGTGTGGCAACCTGGCGGGTCTATGCCCCAGGCATCACTCCCTGGGCTCACACTGCTGGCCTATGTCTGCCTGTCGCCTGATAGTTTTCTCAGTGGGATGATGAGAGCCACTGAGGAACTGGCTCTGGACCTCCAGCCCTCCCTCTTTCCTGTCCCTCAAGAAAAACTGGGGCCTCGGGAACTCTAGGCAGCTAGCTCCCACCTAGAACCTACCATTCCTGGGCTTTGGGCTGGGGGTCGCTTCTTACTCTGCTAGTTTCAGCTCCCATGCCCTCCAGAGGCTGGGGTGTCCATTTCACCATGTATTGAAACCCCAGCTTCAGTTTCATGTCCCCCCACCTCCTCACGACCTTGCCCTTAAGTGGACTGAGCAAACCCCCTTAGGCATTTGCCTCTTGCCACCTGAGCTGCTTAAGGCCTGCCCTGCCCTTTCCCCATTACCCCCTCTTCCTGCCTGCCTTTTTGGTGAATCAGCAGGCCCTCTTCCTGGAAGCCTGAGTTGGACCCTTGGAGCCATAATGGGCGGCCCACAGGCCAGAGGCTTGTAGAGCTCACTGAAGAATGAGAAGTTTCCAAGGCCCCAGCCCTGGGGGTATGGGTCCTGGCCATCTTTGCTCCTTTGGAGGAGGAAGGCAGTCTTGGTGGTGGGTGAGGGCGAGTGAGTGCTAGGGCGTAGGGGTAAGAGGCCATGGAGGTGCTGATTGCCCGGACAGGTTACAGCGTCAAGTGTGAGTACACAGCGCACAAGGAAGGCGTCCTCAAGGAAGAGATGCTGCTAGCCTGTGAAGCTGGTGCTGGCACCTGTGTGCGTGTGGTGGTGCAGGCACGAGTCATGGGTGAGAGCATGAGGCGCACATCTGGCTAGAGGAGGGAGGCACCCACTTGGCCAAAAAGGGGTTTCTGCCTTCCTTCAGTCTGAAAAAGGGATCCTTGCCCTGGCTGGGGTTCCCCACCTCCTTGGTGGGTGTTTTTCTCCCCACCCACTACTAGAGCCTGGAGGGAAAGGGGAGGGGTCCCCTTGGAGTGGGTGGGACCAGGGGTCCAGCCTAACATACTGATTTGTAGCCTGCCTTGCAGACCGGCACCATGGCACACCCATGCTCCTGGATGGTGTCAAGTGTGTGGGTGCCGAGCTAGAATACGACTCGGAACACAGCGACTGGCATGGCTTCGACTGAGGCCCACGCCCCAGCCCACCTCGGGGCCCCTCAGCCTTAATCTCCACCTCATCTCCCCAAATGCTGCGTGATGGTGTGGCTTCCTCATCCTTCCCCAGGGTGGGCGTGGGGCTAGAGTGTCCAGGGGCTTCCAAGCCAAGGCCTCTCCTACATCTCACCTCTGCCTTCATTAGTACCACCTCCCTGCCTCTCCTGCATCCTCCTCTTCCCAATTCCTCCTCGTGTGCCTCAGTCTCCTGCCAGAAGAAATGGGTTGAGCCCCCAAGGAGGCTATCTGAGGGGGAAGAGGGAGGACCTGGGGTGGGTTCTTACCGCCCCCCCCCCCTGCAAGCCATAGGATCTCTAGCCAGGGCCTGGGAGAGGAGGGGGCTGGCTCTGTGATGCCATTGTCCTCACTACTGCTGCTGCTTTCATTTTAGCCACCTCTGATGCCCCTTCCCTCTCCCACTGCTGTCCATGGTGAGTAGGAGGGAGGTGCAGTTCCCAGTCCCTACTCCCCCAGATGTGTGTTACTTGGTTTTTAATGACTGGTTGGGATAAATCCCTAAAGAAATAAACTTTCAGTTGGATACCAGAGACCAGCGGGATTTTTGTTCTCTAGGGCCCTGAGAACGCCCAATTCTTTGATGATAGGCAAAGAAACAGTTTTGGCTGAACTCATTCTTTTAGAAGGTAAGGGCACAACAAGGTATTATAGCACCTAGCCTACAAAGACCTACAGGTGGTGGCATTTTAGGTTTGGGAATAGTTGCCAAGACAGTTTGGATGGGGAGGGGCCTTCCGCCCAGGCCAGAGAGAGATCTTATGAGTTCTGTTTGGGATGCTTGACAGGGAGACAGCAGCACCCCCTTCTGGTCAGTTCCTAGCCCCATGCACAGTTCCCAGGCCTCCTCCACTACACTACTGGGGTCCGCTTTTGTGAAATACAGCAGGCTGTGGCTTCACCTTGAACATTGTTTTATTGTCACCTTAGGCAGGTAGGGCTGTTGCATGTTGTGGGCAGGCATAAGGGCACGCTAAGTTGACAGGCAGCGCTGACACCAGTACTCAGTGTTCCTTTTGTCCTCCCTACTGCCCTGCCTTCTATGGCTGGGATAGGGTTTAAGTGGGTCATCTGGCATGAAGGAAAGCTAGCCCCACAGCATGCTACCCCCATAGCCCTCATAAGTGCCTTCACCCTGTACCCTCATTAGCCTACTACTGCCCTATCTACAATACGTGGGTGGTCAGCATCACACCCGGGGAGGTCCTGCTACCTCTGTCCCTCTTGTGTCAGCTTCTAGTCATTTTTCGGTGGTACAGGGCTGCTCCGTCTGGATGCCTGTGTGGGCCGAGCCCACAAGCGGTGCACTGAGCCCTGCAAACCTCCTTCCTCCTACTGCCTGGGGGGCAGCCTTGTTTGGCATTTCCCTCCCTACTGTCTCCACCCTCCCCACCCCCAGCCCCAGCCAAGGCCAGGACCCAGTCTTCTGATGCATTCTGCCTTCAGAGTGACGTGTTCTCTGTGGGCGCACTTGACTCCAGCCCTTGGCAGGGCCCTTCCGCCTTACAATCAGCGGACTGGGGCCCAACCCCGAAGCCAGAGTCTCTGGATGTGTCCCCACCCACCCTCCTGCGACCTCATCTCCCCGGACAGGCAGACGGGGTAAAGGGCGCTGACAGAACAAAGACTTTAGTCCGCCCCCGCCGGCTCCCCAGAGCCCGTAACCATAAGGGGGCGGGGCCGGGCAGAGAGGGGCTGGCACCGCGCCTGCGCGCCCTCAATTGGAAAGAAAGTCAATGGCGGCGCGCACAGAGCGATTGGTGCTGACGTCGACGGCGGTGACTTTAATTTCGGTGTCGCCAAACTGCATGGCGGCGCGGATCTCGCGGCGGCCGGGGGGCGCGCCGGCAGCATCCGGGCTGCCGTCGGCGGGCGCGGGCTCGAGCTCAAGGCTGAGCGCACCGCACTTGCGCACACCCGGGTCGGTGATGAAGCGCGCGTCCTCCGCGGCGCAGCAGTACAGGTTGATGAGCACGCGCCGCTGGCCTGGGCGCGCGGGGCAGTAGCTGCGCCGCACCTCCTCGCCCAGAGCTACCGACTGCTCTGCAGCCACGAAACGCTCAAAGACGTCGGTGCACCAGCGGCGGCCGTCACGGACCAGTAGCTTGTCTGGCGGATGGCGACCAGCCACAAAGCGGTTGAGCACGCCCACACCGTAGGTGAGCGGCGAGCGGCGCACACGCACCACGCCTGGCGCCTGCCCAAACAGCACCGCGCCCTTGAGGATGGTGAGGCCCACGTCGTGCGGTACCACTACGCGCAGGCCGCGGGTACCCAGCGCCGCCTGCACCGCGTGCTGCAGCACTGCTGACTCGGCGAAGCCGCCCACCAGGAACAGCAGCTTTACGCCCTGCACCTCAGGCCGAGACAGCAGTGCCTCTGCGGAAAGGAGTGAAGCGGGGCAGTTAAGGAGAAGGAGGGAAGGAGAAGAGAATGAGAGCATGAGTCGCTGAGGTCACCACTACGCGGCCACTGTCACCTCCCCTCTGTACCCTTCTGGCAATTAGAAAACAGCTATTTCAACTATAAAATGGTTCCCTGGTTCTAATGAAAAACACTGAGCACTTTGAGGGCTCCTGGCGATGCTCGCGGGCTCTGTCTCCCCAATACTACGCCCCTCCCCCCATGTGGAGGGCCCCAGAGAAGGATATGCATTTACACCTGTTAAATGCCTACTGCCTACTGCATGCAAGACGTGCTCGCTCTCTAGACACTTCAGCTCTTTTAAATCCCTGTGATAACAGTTTTGGAAACCCAATACTGTCATCCCATTTTATAAGTGGGGAAACAGAGGCACCAGAGGTTCGTTAATTTGGCAAGACTACACATCATCCCTCCTAGCTCTTAATCCCCATTGCACTGAGTCCTCCAGGTGTTCCAAATGATTCTGGGACTCGGTTTCCAGGCACTAATAGGGGGAGTTATTACCATATCTGGATGTATATGTGGAGGTGAGTGGCAGACTGAAGCTCAGGTGCTCACCTATATGCTGGATGATCCCACTAACCGTGGGCTGGAAGAGCTCGTTCATGGCCTCGCAAGACATCCTGAGCATCCCCTGTGAGGACCACTTCACGAAGTTCACGCTGTAGATGAAGGGGGCGTAGGCCCATGGATCAGGGTCCCGGGTCCTACTCCTGCTTCAGGCCTATGTGCCTGGGCACTGACTGAACGTTTTGTGATCCCAGCCCCACTTTTGCCACCTCCTGCTTCTGTTCCAGGCGTAAGGTCCAAGGAGAGAAGCCTCCCTTGTCTCCGGGCAGAGGAGCCAAGACCCATTGGCGGGGGTGGGGTGGGGTGTGTGTGTGTGTGTTTCGGAGTGCTGGGGAGGAGACAGACGTCGGCCCTTTCCCCAGGACCCATGATTTCCTTGTTCCAGTCGTGGTCCAGGTATTACTCCTGCCGCCGCCATGCTCCTCCCTCTGCCGCCCAGGCAGGCCTGACTGGTGTGAGCGGCGGATTAGGCGGACCCCCTCTTCCCCCTTAGGCCCATCCCTCCCTTGTAAGGGCGGTTCCCATCCGCACACCCTGCTGGAGCCCGCGGTCCGCTGGCCCACCTGCTCCTGCGCAGGGCCGTCTCCACGTTGTGGCCTCGCTGCTTGCGGTAGAAGTCGATGAAGGAGAAGGGCAGCGAGATGTTGAGCGCCCCCGCACGGTGCGGAGCTGCCGTGCGTTTGCGGGCCTCGAAGGCGATGGTCAGATCCACCCAGGCTGCTGGCCGTTGCCTTTTAAAGGTGGCAATGAAGTCCTCGCCGAAGATGCGACCCAGAAGCTGCTCGAAAGCCAGGTCTACGCCCACCGCGCCATAGGGGCCGCCTGGGGTGGGACAGGGGGCGAAGGAGAATGTCAGTGCAGACCCTACCGCTAGGGGGCGTTAGCGGTCTGGGTACTAAGGACTCGGTACTCACCTGACGCCTTGTAAAGCTCCTTGAGGGTGCCATGTGGCTGCTCCAGCTGGTGCACTGTCAGGTCCACCGTGCCTCCCCCGCAGTCTGCCACCACGTAGCGGTCTCCTGTGGCGGCGAGTGTGGCCACACACTTGAAGCCTGCCTTGCACCCTCAGCCCTGTGTCCCCTCCCAACTCACCCAGCCTCTATCCCTGCCCCAGGTACCAAGTCCTGCGTGTCGGGGTGGGTGAGAGGCTTCAGGTGTTTAAACCTCAGGCCACTGGGTAAAGGCACAAGGTGTGTTGGGGGTGGGGGGCAGAAATGGTTCAGGGCTCTGTAATTCCATCTGCGTAGAATCCCTGGGAGGAGTGTGGGGTCTGCCAGGTCCGGAACAGCAGACAGAGCAAAGAGCTGGTTTCCAGGGGCTGGAGCCAACTTCACGAATGTTCTCTCCCCCTCATCAGTATATGGTGTACCATAGGGCCCAAGACATTCCACCGTCTCTCTGTTCCCCCACCTGCTTGCATCTCTGCCCACAGCTCTCCGACCCCCGACTCCACCAGGAATGTGCGGCTGTGTCGAGACCTTCTCAGCTGCTCACGGGCTGGAGTTTGAGGGAGAGCAGGAAAGTGAGATTAGATGAAGGTGCCTCAGCTGCAACATTCAATCTCCATCTTCCCACCAAGGCCCTCCATGAACACGGGGAGCAGCCAGTGCTCTGGAAACTCTTGCTCCACTTCTAACTGAGAGAGGACAGTGCTAAACTCCAAAGGGTCCGGAGAAACCTGATGGGGTACTCCCAGATGCTGTAACCAACAGCTGTGGGGCAGTATTTCTGGAAGCAGAGCCTTCTCTTAATGCAGGAGGGTTCAGGCCGTCACAAAATCTGGGTTAAGAGAGTTTGAAGCTGTGTGTGTTATGCGGGGGATCCAGAGTAGCTCAGGGCTTGGAACCTCTCCCTGTCATGGAGATGGTATTTGGGGGGCAGTGAACAAGGGTGATCATAGCTGTTTCAGTGCCCGGTCTTGGCAGCAGGAGTTTGGGGCTATGTGTGGGGGGCAGCTGTTTCAGTGGCTGTTCAGGGCAGCAGTCCCCAACCTTTTTGGTATCCGGGACCAGTGCTCCTATGAGAATCTAATGCCTGATGATCTGAGGTGGAGCTGAGGCAGTGATGCTAGTGCTAGGGGGCGGCTGCAAATACAGATGAAGCTTCGCTAGCTTGCCCGCCACTCACTTCCTGCTGTGCGGCCCAGTAACTGACAGGCCATGGATCAGTACCCGTCTGCGGCCCGGGTGTTGGGGACCCCTGGGTTAGCTCCTGAAGACCTTCCCTTTTCCACTCAGAGTGGGGGCTGACTTCCTCCTTTGTCAGTACCCAAGCATTCCTCCCACCAGGGTAGGCTGTCTCCCCAGACCCTCAGACTCAGGGCTGGGCTAAGTCCTACCCTCCTCAGATTGGGCTCCCACAGGTCAGGACTGTGCCTCCTCCCTCAGACTGGGATGTTTCTGCCCTTTCTGATTGGGCTCCTCCAGGGGAGGGGGACGTCTTCTTCATGCTGGGCGTGGCCGAGCTTCTGGTCTCAGTGACACTCTGACCCTCCAAGGGCAACTCCAAGCCCATCACTGGAGGTGGCTCACCTTGCCGGAAGCTTGAGTCGATTGAACGGCGTTCACCCAGGCGCCCACTGCCTGGGGCCCTGCTGCTCAGGTCCAGGAGCTGATGCAGACGCAGCTTGCGGCAGTAGACAGAGGCAGCCTCAGGCTCCAGGGCAATGAGTAGTTGCTCTGCATTCTCTCTAGACACCAGGCCAGCCTGGGGATGGGTGGTGGGCAAGGCCAGGAGCACCATGGGCTGTCACACTTAAGATGGCACCTGGGGCAGGCGACTGGGGCCTGTGGGGCTCCTACATCCTCCCCATCACACTCCACCTATGCTAGGCCTCTCAGGCCCTTCCATGCTGCACAAATTTGGAGCTGCCTCATAGCTACCCTGTGACCAGACTGGGGAAGGGTATGGCCATGGCCAAGGACACCATGGGATTACCCAGCAAGAAGAGACCCTAGACAGAGTGAAAACCTAGAACACCTGGGATTTGCCCCTCTGAGCTGCCCAAAGGGCAGGACTGGCCAGCTGGGCACTGGCTCAGGGTGTTAGTGAGACTCTAGCACTGTGTGTGTGTGGGAGAGGGATAATGGACAGACATTAATCAGAGTAGATGGTAGGGGCATATTTTGGCTCATTGAACCCTCTTCCTCCACCAGGTTGGTGTTGGACAGCGGCCATAGGACTCCCCACTCCTAAAACTTCCTGGGGAATCTAATGTAGGAGGAAGGAAACTCTTAACAGTGATATTCCAGGCACCAAGACAGGCCAGTTGTGGGGAGAAAAATGCTTGAGATCTGTTACTTCCTGCATTAGGACAGGGAATCCCTGTGGCAAGTGCTTTATGGTTTTGTGGGATTCCCCAGATTCTGAGCAGGTAGGGGATGGGGATGGGTGGATATTGAGACTTCCTGCCCAGGGCCAGCCCTTCCTGAGCTGGCAGCCAAGGAAGTGTGGGAGGAAGCAGAGTTGGTAAACCAGCATGGGAGGGGCACTGTGGTTGGGGGATGGTATTTGTTCTGGCTGGGCACAGCCTTGCTTTCATCCTGGTCTCTGCAGAGGGATGCCCACTAGGCTCAGGGTTAGCTCCTTCCAGTGACAAGGGTAAGTATCTAAGGCATGCCTGGCCCATGAGTGAGTGTGCATAGGTTGGGGGCCCTCATATCTTCCAAGGGGTCTATAGGTAGGCCTGAGATCCCTTTTGTATGTCCTAGGGTGTCCCCCAAGGCCCTAGGGGCAGGAACAAGCAATGAGTCTTGCTCTGGAAAGCTGTGCCCCCCGTTATCCCCAGATCTCCACCAGAGGGGGGGGTGCATTAGCTGTACCCACCCTTTCTCCAGAACTTTGGGCATCTCTTATGGTAGGAAAACCAGAAAACAGTGGCCTTGATCACCACCCTTCATAGATTCATAGTTCTATTTCCTGAGCTCAAGAACTTAACAGTGCCTGGGGCTGTGGTAGTGGCAGAGTTCTTGAAAATACTGATGCTGGCGAAAGTGGATGTTCTTGGTGCCCTGTCCAGCTGGCAGTGTTGGCTGCTACTGGCTCAAAGCTGCCCCTTTCTCTGGAGAACTTCCCTTAGCTGAATGGGAACCACCTCGCTTACAGAGGTTCCTTCCACCCCCAGCAACCAGTTACACACCGATATAGATGTACAAAAAGCTGGCCCCTTTGCCTCACTATGGCCAACTACCGGGTACAATTCTCCTTCCAGAGCTCTCTATGGGATCAAGCTGAGGCTAGACTCCAGTTGAGAAATGCCCTTGCTCAGCTCTTTCTCCTGTTCTGCTTCCCTCACCTCCTTTCTACTGAGAGTCCTTCAATATAGACCAATGTACAAGAATCTCCATCTTGGACATGGTTCCATAGTGTAGCTGTTAGCACATGTGCTTTACACGCAGAAGGTCCTGGGTTCCCACCCCAGTGGAGCCATGGTCCATGGTCTATGGCCATGCCACCCTGAACAAGCCCGATGTCTGATCTCGGAAGCTAAGCAGGCTTGGGCCTGGTTAGTACTTGGATGGGAGACCACCTATGAAAACCAGGTGCTGTATGGATAAATAATAATAAATAATAAAAAGAATCTCCATCTTGGGCTCTCCTTCTAGGAAACATGACTTAAGGCACTGGCTAAGCTGGCCTGGGCTGTGCCTCTTGTCCCTCAGCCCTCTGTTCCTGCAGGGCCACCCCTTCTCCTGGTGGCAGCAACCTTCCAAAATGCCCAGCAGCAGGGGGAGACCGGAGGTCTTTATATAATGGCTCTGTGGTACCAAGGTGGTGGGGTAAAAGAGGATATGGGGCCATCCCTGTGGCCCTCTGGAGCACTGTGTACTACTGTGCTTGCAGTCCTCACCAGGTAGGCAGCCTCCCGCATGAATTGCTTGGCTGGCTGTTTCCAGATGGCGGGCACCGTCAACACCCAGCGTACAGTGTCCTTTCCTGGCAGCGATGGGCATTGCTCGCTCAGCTCCTGGAGCGGGAGGAAGCAGTGAGGGGAATGGCTGGCTTAGGTTAGGGCTTAGGTTAGGGGGTTGTCTTCAGCCCTCTGTGGGAGCTGGAGGAACTAATCAAGCCTCAGGAAGGGCTTCCCAGCGGAGCTGGAAAAATCCCTAACACTTCCCCGCTCCACCAATACCTGTATAGCTAGTGCAGGCTCTACCAGACAGGAAGGCAGGGGACTGGAGAGGATGACCTCTGACCGTGGCTACCCATTAGATGGGCAGGGGATGGGTTCAGGGGAAAGGATGGGCCTTGGGGTCCGCTGATCCGTCTGCAGGGATGGGGCTGCAGCGCACCTGAAGGGCATGCTCCTTGAAGAAGCGCAGGGCATGGGCGAACACCTCTAGGGCAGGCATTTTCTTTCCATTTACAGCCTCCAGCTGGGTCTTCAAGGTGAGATCCTGGCAGGACACAGGGCGACTCTGCAGGAAGCCATAGCTCTGCCCCATTTCCTGAAGACCATTTCCTGGTGCTTCCCCTCTTCGTCATTGTCTCCCTCTCGCTCTAATCTCACCCTAGTTCTGTCCCCCGCCTCTCCTCTAACCGTATCTTCACAGCTCGGCCCCGCTTCCAATCCGTCTTTTTTCCAAGCTCCGCCCCCTTAACCACACCTCCACCCGCCCCTCCTCACCTTTTAGCTTTGTCCACCATATTAACCCCGCCCCTTCCCCTCTAGGCCCCGCCTCCCTGGCTGGAGCTGGCCTTGAGCCAGAGTGTGACTCACAGTGGCGCTGTGGATCTTCATCTTGAACTTCTCGAAGTAGAGCCAGTCCCGCGCCTCCTCAGGGTCTAGGTCGTGGTAGTAATCGCGGGCGGTGTAGCCAAAGCTGTGAAAGGCTCCCTCCGGGGTCAGCAGCAGGCAGGTGGGGGTCTTCTGGTGGGCAACACCTGGGTCCCCACCCTCCCATTTCCTGTGGTGACACAGGGCTATCAGCGGGGTCAGCAGCAACCCTCCCTTTGTGGAGTTGGGTGATGGCTCCGAGATGAGCTGTGTGACCTTACAGGCCACTTAGCCTTCCCTAGTCTCAGTCTTACCACCTGTAAAATGGGAATAATAATAGTACTTGCCTCGTAGGGTTCTTGTGAAGATGGTGCTTGGCATCCACTTAAATCGCCATCGATGCTGCTCTTGGGATCCTCCCTATCCATGGGGCCATGGGATCCATCCAACATTCTCAGCTTCCAGTCCCATGAGGTATACTATTTAACCTCGCCTCTCTGCACCCTTAACATGCAGCAGCAAACCATCATTCATCCAATTCATCTGCCTAGGTTTGGCTTCCTAATATATCTCTCCAGCACCCTAGCAGAGGCCTTCTCCCATCCTGCTGGTTTGCTCTCCTCTAGGCTGTATTCCACAGCCAAGCTCCTTTAAGGCATTCATGACATTCCTATCTGACCCACCCTAGCAGCTAAACCCCTGTTGACTGCACCTCTAGCAGGTCCCAAAAAAACCTGAATGAGGTTCGAAACCTCCCAATCCACAGATACATCCGAACATCCACCCAGAACTCCCTGCCCAGTTCACTGGCCTGGCAAATCCTTCCTATCCCTCCTCTGTCTTCCTTGATGCCCTGACCCCTCTAAGCCAACTTCACCACTGCAGCCTTTTGGGGAAGGAACCGAGAATCCGGGCTGAAGGAACAGCATGTGCAAAGCTTAGAGATGTGACGATCAGGAGAACTAGCTGCAAGGTGGTTCAATATGAGCAGGAGAAAATACAGGAGTGTTACAGTCAGCTAAGGGATAACATCAAATGCCATATTGGGATTCTATCTTGGTGGGTTTTAAGTCAGGGAGTGAAGAGGGATGACCACATTTGCCTTTAGAAAGGTCACTGGTCCCCATGCAACAGACTAGAGGGGAGGGAGGATGGGGAAGAAAAAACATCCAGGTAAGAGAGTGTGGGGTTGGACTTAGGGGTGGTGGCCGTGAAATGGATGGGTACTCCAGAGATATTAGTGAGACAGAAATGACTGGACTTGGTGGCTGGTAGGGGTAGGGAGGGTTTGGGAGGAGGCCATGACGTCCCCTAGTAACTTCCTATAACAGTCACCTCCACAGGACAGAGATAGTGTCCCTTTATGTCTCCTCGGCCCCAGCATGGGGCCCAGCATGGCCTCAGCTGAGTGTGCTGACTCCTAGAGGGCTGTTAAGTGCCCAGAGCTTTTGTGGCCTCATGTGGATGTAGAGGGAGCAGAGGAAAGGGAAGGACAGTCCAGGCTCACAAAGGTCAAGTCCCTGTATCTTTGGCACAGTGATCCTTCTGTCTGTCTCTCCACTCACCCTTCCATCTAGCCTCCTGGGCCCTGGGGAAAACCCCCGACCCCCAATCCCAATCTGGGTTGGGAGCTCTGGGGTCTCCTATAGTTCCACCTACTAGTTGTAGCCCCATTAAGATACATTCAAAGGATCAGGGTAAGGAGGCCTGGAGGGAGTGTTCAAAGAAATACTTTGTTCAAACAAAACTCAACAACATCAGAATGGATTTTTCTAACATCATTGTCATAACAACTGTGATTTGTCAGCTCAGTTAACCCTCTGACCCTTCGAGTCCTTGTTTTTCATTTGAGATGCTGGACCTAGCAATCTGCCTCATAGAAATTCCAACACAAATTTTCAAGGAAGGAGATTCGTTGCAGCACTTTTTGTAGGAGTGAAAAGTTAGAAAAAAAAAAAAAAACCCTAAAACTATCAGTAGAAAGATGGATAAATTATGACACATATGTACTACGGAATACTACGCAACTGTTAAAAGAAAGCGGCAGCTTTTTTGTAGACATGAAACATCTACAAAATAATGTTGTAAGTTTAAAATAAGGCAAATTGTATACTTCATTTTTAATTAAAAAACACATATGTATGCATATATGTTTGTGTAAAAGCACAGAAAGAGATTTGTGTATTTTGCTGTATGTTTGTTATATCTCAATAAAATTTTTAAAAATTAAGAACAGAGCCCAACATTTCCTGCAGAGGGCAGGGAGCTGCTTCGATTGAGGCTGGGGGCCCAGGCCTGTGGCCATCTTCCAACCTTTTGCCTCAGTGGGGAGCCCAGACTAGGGGTAGAAGGAGCTCTTAGGGTACCCCTCAGTGATAGTACTCTGGGACCAGGACCATTCCAGAGTGTTAGGACAACTGCCTTCCTCCACCATCTCCCAGCTCAGCTGCCCTCACCTCATCATGTGGATGGCCTCAGGGTCACTGGCAAAGCTGAAGGCATAACCACTGGATGTGGTACCAAAGTCGATGGCCACTACCACAGAGAAGGAGGCCTGCTGGGGGGTTCGAGCCTCAGGCTTCTGCAAATATAAGATCTAGAGTCAGGAAGCAGCCCAGGGGACAGGCTGACTGCATGCGGAGGCCCCACTCCTCTTTTGACTGTGGTCCAGACCAGCCCTGGTCCACCCCCCACCCACCTGCCTGCCTGGGCTTCCCTTCCTTCCCAGGCTTGAGCCCTGGAGATGTCGAATACCCCCACCCCCCTCTCATACCATGTCACAGCCTGGGCCCAGCTGGGAGCAATTAGGCTCCTCTTGGCAGTTTCATTGCACATGGACTTGTGTATATTTGACCCTCTTGCCCTTTGTGGCCACAGTGACAAAACAAGACTGTCAGTCTGGGGGCAGAGAAGAGAGGCTCTATGCATGTGCCCAGTGGTCCCTGCCTTCTCTCAGGCCAGGCCTGGGCTCCCTGAAAACAAGGGGATACCCAGGCTGGATCACTAGGGTGAGGCCATCTTGGGTAGGGTGACCCAGGGAGCTAGTAGGAGGGTTATATTCTGGATACTTCAAGCTAATAATTTCCCAACTTTTGTATCAATGTGTCTCCTCTTCCCCAGATATCACTTGGATTCAGGTGGGGTTGTGGTTGACAGGAGGGGGAGCAACTCTGGGAGGCCCAGTGCTCTGAGCACTTTGAAAAACTACATGCTCGGAAGTACACCTGCCCCAGGCAGGCTAGCTGCAATGGCCCCTGGATGTCGTCCTGGAGGGGAGGTGTTTGGGCATTAGCATGTGGGACTTACCTCAGTAGAACTGTTACTCCTGTGGTCCAAGGTCACCTAAGGTTAATCTTTCTGCAGGGGGCATGACTGCAGTGTGCAGGGGCAGGAGGCATGATGGCACCCCTAGCCCAGCCTAGGCCCTGCCAGGGCTCTGCCAGAGGCTAAGCCTTGATCTCTGGAGTACCACCACCCTCCACACCACCCAGGCCACCCGCTACTCAGATCCCCACTCTGCACTTACTGGAGACTGTGAGGGTGTGAGAGGGGCAATGCCACAGCTTTCCTGGGTCCTTGGGGAGCCAGGTGGGCTGGGAACAGGTGATCGCTCTGGGCTGGAGCCTGCAAAGAAAGGTCAAGTCACTCTGGCACCATCAGGGTAGGGAGCCGGCAGCTGAGCCTCAGGCCTGGGAGGTTCTCCCATCAGTCCTTATTGGGCCAAGGCAAGGGGTGCCCTGCTGGGGAGGGGGACTGCGTGAGAGGGGAGGAAGGATGTGACTTGAGGTGGGGGCAACTGAGGCAGGGGCAGGCTGAGGGCTTATGATCAGTTAGTAGCGACCATCCCTGGAGGACCATCCCTGGAGGACGATCTGTGCCTCACCTGGGGACTCCCCCCACATCTGTCTCTCCCAGCACCCCTTAGACAGAGTGGGGGAGGGGAGAGACAGAGAAGCATTGTAGGGGTCAGGGAGACTGAGTCCAGAGATAGAAGGGCAGGAGAGATGAGGCAGCTGAGCTCCTGGGGTGGGGTGGAAGGTAGAGAAACCAGAAAAGGTGGGGGAACTACAGACCTAACTGCTCCCCTCCTCCTAGAGTTCAGGCACACGGTTCTAATCAGAATCTGAGGGAGCAGCCCTCTTTTCCTCCCAAAAACAGGCCTGGTGAGGATCAAGGTGGGGCAGCACCTTCCCCAGCCCAGCCCCGAGCTGAGGGGAATCAACAACACTAGGAAGTTGCATTCCAAGCTGTCCCCCACCCCCATCACAACATATAACACACAACACACATACACCTTGGGCCAGCACTGGGGGGGCAGCAGGCCTGAGATCCTTTCAGCAAGCCCAGGACTGAGCTGGACCATTGATGGGAGGAAGGAGTATAGCCTCTAGCAGGCAGCCCCGAAGGGTGGCTTGGAGGCTCAGGCGGCTCGAGGGCCTGCCTGACTAGACATCCGCCAGGTGCAGGCTGGTCATTACCACATTGAGATTTGCTAAGGCCCCTGTGAGGGGGACTGAGGCCGCCCTGAGATTCACACATAGGGACGGGGAGGTTGATGGAGTCTGACGTGAAGACTCATGGATAAAGCAAACTCTCTCAGTGTCTGCCCTGCTCAGTGGCCCTGACAGGTCCTAGCCCTCCCTGGCCTTGGGATACCCTGAGAACATATGTGAGGGGCCAGGTATGAGGGGGACTCTTGAAAGTGCCTGGAAAGGGCTGAAATTTGTCTTGAGGTGCTGGAGGGGCAGGGACATGGTAGTCACACCTTCAGGGCTCTCTTTTCTCAGGCAGCCAGCGTGAGCTTGGGCCCTGCCACCAGCTCAGGCTTGAGAGGCCAAGTTGCTGTGGCCTGAGCCTGGGAAGGGAGGCAGGAAGGAAGGCCCGGCCCGCCAGGTCTTTGTGAGTGAACTTCCTGAGGAGTGTCCCTCCTGCCTCCTAGCCTCCCACCCCTGCAGGGAATCCAGAGCCTGTTCCCAGACCAGGCCACAGACAGAGGCACACATACTCACACAGAGATTTCTGTGCACACAGACCCTCCTGCAGACATACATACACACTCTCACACAAGGCCCTGTGCACAGACCTGCCGACAGGCAGATAGACTGACACATACACACACAGTTACACCAGGTCCTATGCACACAGACGATGTACAAAACATACACACGCATATAGTCCTGTGCACGCAGACCTGCCCTGCACACGTAAACTAACAGACACACAGGGGATCCTATGAACAGATGTGTCCTGCGCACGTGTGTGTGCACGCACACATACACACAGTCCTGTGTGCCCCAACCCTCTCCACACACACTCACACTCTCAGGAACTTTTTCTGGAAAAGGCACCACGGACAGACTGGGGGTGAATCTCAGAGCCAGTGCAAGTGGCGTGGTGGGTCGGGGCGGAGGTCAGGGTGGTCTTACCGATGTACAGTCCCTGTAGGCCCAGCTCTGGGACAGCAAGCATCTTTGCAGGCCCTGTGGCTGTGAACAGGAACAGACAAGCAGAATGGCGTTTATTTGTTCCTTTGTTCCCTCGCTGAATACGTATTTATTTTATTTATTTACTTTTGGCCGGAGTGCTTTGAAGTAAATCCCAGACATTATGTAGTATCACCTATAAATTCTTCAATATGTCTCTCCAACAAATAAAGACTATTTAAAAAGCCATCACCACAACACTATTATCATGTGTAGCAAAATTAGCAGTAATTCCTTAATCTCATCTAATGCTCAGTCCCACGGTCCAGTTTGTCTCAAAAAGCTCTTTTTAACCGTTGCTTTGTTGCAATCAGGATGCTCCTAAAAGTTTTCAGTGCCCATTCTATGCCAGGTTCCGTGGGACATCAGAGACCTAGAGAGACATTGTCCTTGCCCTGGGGGCCCACAGCCTGGTGGGGGAAAACTGATTATAATCAGATAATCACCCAAGTGAATTTGAGATTCCAAATGATGCTGTCAAGGTCATAGCTGGATACAAGTGAGGCAGAAAGGGGAGCGTGGTAAGGCTGCAGAGAGGGGCTGAGCTGGCCCGATCCAGTAGGCAGGCTCTTGTGGACCCTATCTTAGATTTGGTTTTACATGAAGGGCAATAGCAAATCTTGAAAGGTTTGAAGTGGCAGAATGGAGGTGGGGGCATGATTAAATTTTTGTTGTAAAAAGTCCTTCTGGATGCATGGGGAGTGTGGATTACAGCAGGACAACATGGAAGCAGGAGCTCAATGGCTATGTGTCTTCAGACAGAAGTGGAGACATGTCAGAGGTTAAAAGCAACAGGGTTGATAGAGGATGACTGGACTGAATACGGGCATTAGGGAGAAGAAGGTGTCAAGGGTGACATGATCTGATTCAAGTTAGAAGGATAATACTGGAGAAGGGCAGGTCGGCAGGGGGGAAGGGGCAGTGTTCTGGGTGGAGTTCTGAACTGCTGAGAGGACTGACCACGGAGCCAGAGGATATACGATCTAGAGGGCAGGGAGAAGCTGAGGTAGAGACGTGTGCTGGCGGGTCTTTGTTATGGGAGGCTTGGCAGAGAAGAAGGGAAGAGACGAGAACCTGAGCATAAAGGTAAACCAGTGGAAGGTGGGTTGGCTGATACCAAGATCCCTGCTATGGTTTCATGAAGATCTTGGTAAGAGAAGGGTGTGGAGCTAGATGCCGTTAGAGGTTGTTAGAAGAGACTGGAAAGACCTGTTTGGTCCAGGGCCACATTTTGGTGGAATGAATGGAAATGGGGTGGGAGGCAGGTAAGCCTAGGTGAGGAGCAAGCAGAGCAGCTAGCACTTCAGGGATAGTGGCTGAGATCAGGAGTTGATATGCAGGTAATAGCTGGAGGAACTGAAAGCTTGAGGCGGGGAGCAAGGCTTTTCATTTTCTTTTCTAAATTGGTAGGAACCTGAGCTTGTGTCAGTGAAGTTCTGTGGCCTAGGCTAGAGGCAGAATCCTCCAGGTCATCAACAGCTCTGTTACTCGTTGTGGTCTCAGGACGTCAGCATTGGATCCCCTGGGAGTTTGTTAGAAATGCAGAACCTCAGGCCCTGCCTGGGACCTGCTGAGTCAGAACTTGCGTTTTAACAAGATCCCAAGTGGTTCGGTGGACACTGAAGTTTGAGAAGGGCTGCTCAACTGTCTGCAGTTGTGGGCTTGATAAACACCCTAAATAATAGTGGCGGCTGCCCAGAGCCCACTCCCACTCTGTAGCCAGCGGCCGGATCAGGAAGTTTTGCTAACAGAACACAGGCAGGCACAGAGCTGGGCATTGTCACACCCATACACACACATGCACACACCCTTGCTTATGCACAGTTTGCACAACCCAGCCCCGTCATGCAAAAAACTCAGACATATCCAGGACACTCCTGCATGGCCAGCACCATGAAATTTTCAGACCCACTCAATCCTGCTGTCATCGGAGGCACACAGTTGGATGCCCAGGAGTCAGAATCAGGGGAAAGACAGGGGCTGGTCGTGGGCACTCAAAGAGCAGCTGAGTGATGCTGAGAAAAGGAAAAGCATATAGAGGGGGTGGGTATGGGCCTTGAGAGCCAGGGACAGGAGCCCAGCTTAGGGTGATGGAGTGGTATGCTGGAGATGGTTCCCGCCAGGTGGCAAGAGCTGATCCTGTGCATCTCTTTCCAATTCTGCTCTCATTGACCTCACATTGGTAGCTTTAAATCAGCCATGGTGGAAGCATTTACACCAAAGAAATTGGCAAAGTCTACAAATTAGGGTTTTCTCCCTCTTGTAGAGTTGATTTGTAAAACATTTGCCAGCACACATTGGATCAAAGCCACAAGGGAGAAGCTGGCAGTCCTATTTGTACATTGTTTTGATCCTTCAGCAAAGACTTATTGAGCATTTCTTTGTGCTGGGTTCTGAGCTAAGTGCTGGGGAAATACTGTTGAATGAATGAATAGATTTTTCTGGACCAAGGCTCTTATATCTGGAGGAGCAACAAAAGTCAGGAATCATCACTCAAAGCTGGATTCCACATCCAAACTGGGTGCCTATAATCTCTCCAGCTGTCTGAAGCTGGTCCAGTTACCTCCCATCTCTGAGTGTGTGATTCACTGAGTGCCCTACACTGGGGTCTTAGGGCTGGCAACGGCCTGTTATGGCACCTGGCTGGAGTGCATTCTGTTGTCTCTCTGTGCCTAAATGCCTTTCCTGCAAAATGGGTCACGCAGGGGGCTTGCGAGGATCAAGTCCAAGTTAAAAAAAAAAAAAAAAAGGCAGTTGATAAAGGCAGGGAGTTGGACAGATGTGAGCAGTGTTCTTTCCCTTCATGATGTGGATTCTGAATTTTCTCTTATCAGATTTTTGTCTTATTGAGAGTGTGATTCCAGTCATTCCACATTCTTTAGGGAGAGCAGGAGGACAGAAATCAATTCGTATTAAAGAAGGAGGATCCTGCCAATTCCTCGAGAGGTGGAGGTAGAAGGGGTTGGCAGCCCCATCCGTCTTCGAGACATTCCCCACTATGCACACACACCCAGAAACATTTAAGGAGAATGCTGACTATGGGTCTCAGAACCACCTCAGCTCCCAAAAGCTATGTCTGGGCAGAGTCCAAGGCTGGAAATGGGGTGAGATAGACCCTCTCCCAGGGGTCCACTAATTTCACACTGTTAATGCTTATGGGTTTGAGAATAATTGGGTGGGGGAGTCTGATTTACATAGAAAGTAATTCATTTCCTGGCTACAATCATAGGCTAAACTCTGGCCCCAGCCTGATCCCTACACTACCCACAGACAGACACTTAGCCCTGCCCGTGGACTGACGCCTATCTTTGCCCATGTACTGATGACCCCTAGCCCTTGACCTCATATCAACCTCGCATCTCCAGCTTCACCCTGACTTTTGGCACTGACATCTACCCAATAGACATGACCTGTTATTGGGGACCAGAACAGGGTGTGGCTGAACAGGGACTCGAAACCAGAGACTCCCATCCTAGAGAGCCCCTCAGGCTTACAAAATCCTAGGACTTCTTGACTGATGGAAAGAATTCTCTGAGGATCTCTTCTTGGGGTGGGGGTGTTAAGGCTGGGCACTTATGCCTCCTGGAGCACTGGGAGAATGTAATATTGACAGATTTCAGGGCTCCACACATACCTGTCCTCTGCCCAGAAGGACAAAGAGCTCACCCATATCTTTACAGCTCCCCTCTCTCCCCAGCAGGCTTCCTTTCACTGGGACCCAGTCTCTTCCACCCACTGCTCTCTGCTCAGCATCCTGCCAGCCCTTTAACGGAACAGGGCTCTGTCAGCAAGCAAAAAGGCCACAAGCATTTCCCCCAAGCCAGAGACTGGGCCAAGCAGGGCCCAAGGGACAGATCAGAACCCCCAAAGGGCTGCTGTAGTCTGTCTCTGGAGAGGAGCCTTCCAGGAGAGGGACCTGGAAGGCTATAGGGTGGGGAGGCTGCCTCCTCCTGTGTTGGGGTGCGGGTGACAGAAATGGCCTCCAGAGGCCCCTCCTGTCCTCAACTTTTCTTTCCATACATCCTGCCCCACCCCGGTGGGTCCTCATCATGAGAGCAGCTAGTTCACAAACAATCTCTGTCCCACAGAGCGCAGGCCCTGAAGCCCCTCCCATCCTCTGCCTACCAGTCCCCCCATCACCTCCCTTACCTCTGAACCTCCAGGGCTCCCTTTGCTCTCACAGGTAGTCCATATTTTAGAGCTCACTGCCTCCCAGTCTCTCTCACCCACACGAGTGTGCTTTACAAACAGGCTCCACTGCCCTTCAGGGAGCCCAGACCCTGCCCCACCTGACCCCCAAGCTGGCTTCATAGAGGGAAACCACAGTTTCCTGGTCAGGAGGCTAGTCCACAGTCTAGAACTGTGGCACCCGGGCCACCCCGCCACTCTAGAATTTCCCGGACCACACAGGCCCTGGGACACCCACCCAAGATGCCCGCCTCCCCGCCCCACCCCCATGCACTGTAGGTCTCTACCTCAGGCCTAGGCACTGTGTCCTCCACAAGCTGGTCCCCCTGGAACAGCACCCAGCCCCACACTAGCCCCCCACCCGCATCCCTCAGCACAGGAGTCTCTCCAGCACCCCCACCCTTTGCAGAGCATGTGTGGGGTCCCAAAGCCCAGATGGGAGCCCACAGTCGCTGCCCCAATTTCCTTCTTGAACCAGCAGCTCCCGCTGGAGAGAGGGGCTTTCAGATCTGTCCCCAACAGGGCCTCCCAGGCTCAGGAAGTTTGTGGTGGGGTCTCAGCAGACAGCTCAGGACAGGATGGCTAACAGCGGCCCCTTTCTCCTTTCTGGAGGCCCAGCGGCCCCTGGCCCCAGAACTCACCTCCGTCCTCCTGACAGCGCGACCTCTGTCCCGCCACCTCGATCGCGGCCCGCAGCTGGTGGCCGTGCCTTGCGCGGCGGCCGCAGCCC